TCAGATGGCTTTAGATAAATAGAAGTAAAGACAAACACCTACATTCAAGATTTTGTTAAGCTTTACAAATTTACTCCCACACACTAAATAATTCAAATGACAGATACATGTACATTGCCTTTGTCGTGTAAAATGAATTCTACCCTCTTTATACATAACTTTTTTTTAAAGGCCCACTGCACTACTTGTAGCTACTTGCGCCCTCTATATAACAAACAATGCCTAATCGGTGACCATTGGTCCCCCATGATCCTCCTCTTTCTTATGTTAACTGAGAGCTGAGTTGATGGGATAACCACCTGTCCAGTGACCTTGCAGGGCGGTCTAATCCCTCCTGTAAACTACGGCAGATAAGCTTTAAATACTGATTCATATTGTTTCAGCTAAATGGAAGTAAATGTACACACCCATGTTTAAGATAAGTGCAAATCAGATTCTAATATATTTACGGCCAGTGGCCATGCACTAATAAACAAATTTGTTAGAAATGTTGCATCCCCATAATTAGTTAAAGGAGTTTTTGTTTTCAAACAAACCAAGAAACATGTATCCTTCAATAAAACACAGAAAAAAATTAATATCCTTTCTTATTGGGTACAACCTTCAAGGTCAACAACCAATCAGTACTTTTAACTTGTAAATGTAAATAATAGAAGAAGGCAATACTAAGAGAGAACAAGGAACGTGGTAGTAAACTAAATGCATGATGGAAGATTGTGAATGTCTATTGTGAAGTCCTGATAGAATTTTCACAGGGGCTAATCAGAGGAAATTTAGGTTAAAAGAAAAAATACAATGATAAAAACTAGTAGGGCTACTTTTCACCTATTGATAATGATTCTCTCTTTTTTGTTTGTTAAACATTTTGGCCTTTTTTGTTGTACAGTGCATCCCAGATAAAACGAAACCAAGAATTATCAATGTTTAATCATAACTTAATCACAATTATAATTGATAAATGACACATATTTGGAAAGCTTAGATCCCCCTCTTTCATTCGATGCAACCCATAATAATGCATATTTCATGCATGAGTGATTAAAATCAATTTGAAGAGAGAAAAACGAAAAGTAATTTGGCGGACGATATCTGAATTTCTAACAGAAAATCACATTTCTAAACAGTTGAGTTTCTGCCCTTTCATATGACACCTCAATCAGGAAAAATGAGCTAGGAATAACAAAGTTCTGTTTGTTTAAAGTAGTGCTTGCATTTCCATAATTTGATTAAACGAATTCGTTTTTTCTGGGACGCACGGTATATCAATTTATCAACATGAGGAAGAAGTCTGTATAGTGTATGTCCCCAGTCCCCTTCACATTTTTACAACTGTTGATTTAAAAAGAAGTTGTATCATTGGTTAAAATTCATAGAAAAAAAAACATGTTATAGCAAAAGTACTCTCGTTTTGATGATATATCTTGCAAACATTCATCATCTAGACATTTAGGTTTGAAATATTTTGTCATGAACAATAAAGAGAAAGATATAAAAAGAGAGAAACAAGGGAAATTTTCATAATTCTCGTTACGCCTTCCGTTATGACTGAAATGAATGAAAGGAACAGAAATTAGAAGCTTTTCAATGCAATGAAATAATGGATTTCCATTGTTGCTGATACAAAACAAAGAAAAAGTATGATCCCTTTGGTATTACTCACATTTCCTGAGGGGATTATTATGAATACAAAATAACATCTATCTCCTTTTATGATGGTTCCTTAAAAGCATCTTCATCTTTAAATCCAAAATCTGTCTCAAAATAAGGAATATGTGAGTAATACCAAAGGGTGTTGCCTTCCTTTTAGATAGTTTTATTGACTTTCAAGTGATGCATCCAAATCTGATCCTTTCTTTTTTCCTTCAGATATTTAAAAAAATGTTTTGTATCAATCAACACCCACTATTGAATTGCATAAGACTGAGACTGCAAGAAAGAATATGTTAATTTCTCTAATTTCTCTTCCGTTTTATAACTTCTCTTCCGTTTTATAACTTCTCTTCCGTTTTATAACTTCTCTTCCGTTTTATAACTTCTCTTCCATTTTATAACTTCTCTTTTCCATTCCCTTCATTTATTTTAGTCTTAATGGAGGGCGTCATGAGAATAAGTTGTTTTTTTTCTCTTTATTGTTCATGACAAAATATTTCAAATTTAAATGTCTAGAACTCCAGATGATGAATGTTTCCAAGATATATCATTCAAAATAAGCTTACTATTGCTTTACTGTTTTTTCCCGATGAATTTAAAAACATGATACCACTTCTTTCTATCTCAGTTCATATACATGTAAAGGGTGCTGGGGCCTGGGGCGTATACATTTTACAGAGAGAAGAAAGGGGAGAATGTTTAGATGAAAACAAAGCACAATATGAAATAGAAAAGAGATAAAGAAAATAATGATTGATGCATGTAAGGTTAACTTATAAAAGATTAGATTTGATTCAAATCCAACAAGCAAAAGAAATATAATCATTATCTAAATTTCTTTTTAATCCTTTCATTATCTCCTGCCCTAATTTTCAATTATAGTACTCATGTGAAAGAGGTTTGAAATTTTACATGTCATTTTCCTTAAAAATAACCTGTAGAGAGCAAAAACGGGCATAATCTAAAAAAATATATGAGTCAACATATATTTTTAGGGCAAGGCCACTTTTCTGTAGGGCACATCCCTATATTACAGCACAAATAGGAAGAATTGGAAAGGGCACAAAATATCTCCAAGGCCAGTGAGAGGGGCATTGAGGCCAATCAAAGGGGCATCCACGGACATGGCCTTGGTGGCCTTGGATTAATTTAAGCCCTGAGTCAATATCCTCCAAGCTCTGGAGATATGAAATATTTTTCAATTTATATGCATAGCTGAGCTTAGCCTTAGAACTAATATTTTGAATGAACTTCAAAGATGCAAAATATGACATTATGCATTCTAAAGGGAGACCCAACCTCGATAGCGAGAAGCAGACTTGTGAAAGTTTGATTGAAATCGTACAAAAAAAGAGAAAGTTGTGATTTTAAAAAATTGCAATCACTATAGGTACGGGCTCTTCAAATTTGGTAAATTGGAAATGTTTCTGTGATGTAGTGGTGGACAACTTTCCCATTTGTTCCATCAAAAATCTACGACTCAATAACGTCTTTACTCTTTAGAGGACCTATAATACTCTGCTATCCATAATATATTTTGAGTAGTGCCCAAAGGGAGAAGGCACTTGGGAAGAAAACAGAAATTAATGATATTTTGGTACACAACAAACAGGAAAGTTGTCTGTGCACATCACAATCTAGAGACCTATTTGCCAATTTTAGATTCTCACTTGTTTGGTAATCTCATACTTTAATTATTCATAATTCTCTCATTATTGGTCCGATTTAATTTAATGTTTCGTCATTCTTATTATCTTATTTCTCTGCTATCATACAAATGGAACTTAATGCAAGGGCTGGAATGACCTTTGAAGAAGCAAAATAAAAGGGCGGGTATCCTCATCTATCAACCTAAAATGGCAATTGCATGCATCATATTAAAGAGGAGTTTCAATTATCAGAAGATGATAATCAATCATGCTGGGATTAAACCATATAATGATGAACAGACAGTAGACAAATCTAGGGCAGACAAGAAAATGGAAATTTCAATTTGTCTGTATTTATTGATATTCATACCCAGCACTCATCTCAGGCAACTTAAATGTCAATGTGTACATTTGTATATATATTTATTTATGAACACTGGAAAAATAGGAAGACCGGCACTGAACTGTAGTATTTCACTAAAAACTTCTAGGCCTGCAAGATTGTGTAAATATCAACCAGGAACCCATTTACAACAACTGGGCCTATAGAAAGACATCTAGGCCTTGTCTGGACTAAATGCACCATGCCAGTAAACATTTCTTGTCCACAATGGCTCACTTACATGGACTTGAGAGTGCCAGTGTGGAACAAAAACAATTTTCATATTTTTGTTGTGATCTAAAGAAGATGTAGACTGTGCAAAACTATTTCTTCATGTTACCTATTCATATTCCTAATCATACATACCGGTATATCTATAAATCTATCTATATATAAATGTATAAATCTATATACAAAGTGCACAACAATTACCAGACCCTGAAAAACAGTCAGTGTTTGGAGATTCTCAATACTTCAATGATTGTACACTCAGTAAAATATGCATCAAAGGCAGACACAAACTGTGAATCTGGCAGTAGAGGGCAGCAATCACAAGCTCAGGGCTCACACAATTGGGTACCTTACTGTGTCCTTCTCATATATATATAGTAATCACATTTCATCGTTTACCGGCACTTAGCTTAAAGGTAAAGACCAGTATTGGAAACGCCCCAATTTCAAAAAATGAAATGGAAGCTCTCATTACCAATCATGTGAAAGAATATCGTCCTTGTTTTCACGAAGTGACGGTAGTGAGGAAAATCGTAACGCAAAGTGAATGCAATTTTTTTTCACTACCGTCACTTCGTGAAAACAACGACGATATGTTTTGACTAATACATGATGATAAAAAATTTGCCGGGAAACGTACCGCCTACTAATTCATATATTTGGTAAATTTGTTTCTCTCATGGTCTGTGAGAGATATAGGGTAGTCCCATACACATCTTTCTGTGTATAGTGCTTGTCACTTTACGAAGAATGGGCCAAATTTCTTATCATTTTGATGATTCCAGAACCTTGCAGATGCTAGATGCTAGATGATCAACCTTTTCTGATCGATTCCACAACGTTTCTTTCACAATGCAATCGCAAGACCATAACTGGTCTTTACCTTTAAGTTTTCTTCCTCCCAAAAAATTCAAAACAGGCTTAAACTGGACAGTGATTAAACCTGAAGAAATGTGCAATACCGTTCAATAATAAAGTTCATGCACAGAGTACCCTGTAGCAACCTGCTCTTCACTCAATACCCTTAACATTGGCCCACACATAGTGATCTGTGTTAGTACAACTACATAAACTACCAATACACTTACCTAGGGGATCTACGATGTGTGGAAGAGGCAACCCAAACGGGTCCTCTGCTGATGGAGCTGCTGGTTCACATCCTTGCTTGATGCCACCGTGGCGCCGACTAAGGGCCCGTGATTGCCGCCGGCGCCATTTTGCTTGGTCTTCCTGGCAGTTGTCTCCAACACCAAAGAAGTTTGCCGTCTGTGACACCAGCCGACTGTGAAGAAAAGAACAAAAATTTGGATCGTTTAGAGTTTGCCACATAAAGTAATATCCTACTAAAGTATCATTACATTGGTTTTTATTTGGAGATTTGTTCCTAATCTAAAAACAATTACCATTAGTCGACCATTATCCTTTTAATTCTGAATAGATAAGTGTAGTTTCCACTTAAACCACGCTGGCAAATGCTTTGGTTGAAAAGTTAGTATTTCGTCTGTTTAGGGCCAGAAAGGCATTAATCATACGTCTCTCGATAGATTTCTTAATGAACTTCATAATGGCTTACATAAGAACCTCAAAGTATAGCTCAATCGTAGTTACGGTAGAAAACCACCGACAACATTTAGTGGGGGTGTTGGTGAGTGTGTGAGATGAAAAGAATATTGATACTGACAAGAAGTGTGTTCAGATGATGTTAACATGAATCACGCTTCCTTTCTGCGTATGTGGATGAACATTTATGGTGAAAGATGCATGCAGATGTTATACACAAAAGGGAAAAATGCCCTTCTCTTTTCTTTTCTTTTCTTTTTAAACATTACAATAGGACATAAAACTATTCACACAAAGAAACTTTCTGACAGGATGGGGGTGTCAAAATTCAATAAAGTATAATAAGTCATCGGTTATCCCTCTTCTTTCTCTCTCTTTTTTTCTCTCTACTTTCTCTCACTCGTTGTGTCTCTCTCTTTAAATTCTCCCTCTTTCTCTCTCTTCTTCTTTTTGCTCACAAGAAATTACGGTATTGTAATTTATTTCAGTTGACGATTCAATGCATTAATAATGTGACTCAGAATAATGTTCTTCTTATGTACTGTGTGGTGAGAGCTGGTAGGGTGTCGACTCATTCTTGTTTTATCATCAACTTTTAATACCCTTCAGGCTCTCAGCATACAATATCATGTTTATGTCTATGTTAACCCTAATAAGGCCGGGGGGGGGGGCCATTATGGCCCCCCCCCCCCTCCACGATTTTTCTAATTGCTCGGGAACGCATACGGATGGCGCCTAGCTCGCCGCTCGCTGACTTTTTTCTTTCAAGTCTTGCGCAACTTTTAAAAGAATTTTTTTGAAAATCGGACCTGCGGTTACAAGGTCACGTGACCTTTTGTCTTTGCATGTCAGCCCGAAAATCGCTTATTTTCATGATTTGTGTACAAAACATATGTAAAAGTCATTTTTCCTAAAAACAGATCAAACATGGGTTATTGGGTCTTGTTTAAAGTTTAGGTGGTTGTTTTTGGAGTCAAAATAGTTGAATTGTAGTAAGAAAAGAAATAAAACAACAAAAACAATGAAATACATAACTTAAAAAAACAATGAAATACATAAGAAATTACAAAAACAAGGAATAACATAAGGAATAAGCTGGCTCTTCCAAATATTGAAAACAATGAAATACATAACTTAAAAAAACAATGAAATACATAAGAAATTACAAAAACAAGGAATAACATAAGGAATAAGCTGGCTCTTCCAAATTTTTTTGTCGTATTATTATTCAGAATGGTCTAATGAATATATGTAGTGAAAAAGAATGCTTAAATATGAATAATATATGATTTATGGGTCAAAATGTGATTTTTATGACTTTATTTGCATAAATTACCATAAATATGCAAATGAGTGAATTTTTCAAAAAATTGAAATTATCAAATTATTCTATACACTTCACTTGACATGCGTGCAAATTTTCGCGGCGATCGGCCACTTCGCGGCCGAGATCTTAAGGGGGGGCCATAATGGCCCCCCCCCCGGCCATACTAAGACCTCAAATAGCCCGGCCTGTTTAGGGTTAACATTGTATGCAACACCAATGGGAAACAAACTTTTGTATTATTTTATGTAGACAGTAGGCCTGTCTTCATCAGCTTGAGATTGCCAAATAACCCGCTATTTTAACTATCCCGATCGCAAATTATCCAGCTAATTTGCGTCGTCATCAGCCTACAGTTGCAATTAGCGGGATATTTGGTTGAGATAATCATCCCAACTCCCAAGATATCTTGGGCTAGTTTGCAAAATATCCCGCTATTTGTCTGATGCGTCTTCACCAGCCCGAAGACTGGCACTATGCGCGAACGCCGCGTAAAATATCTCGAGCTAATTTCCCAGCTCGAGTTTCAAGGTCGAGTTTCAAGCTGATGAAGTCGCAATTTGTAACTTTGGGCTTATATTCCAAATCAGAAATAGTGGGCTATTTGGCAATCTCGAGCTGATGAGGACATACCTAACAAGACTTGTATCTTGGGTCTCGTCACCATATCTTACACTTGAAACTTCAGAGAAAAAAATACCTGCTATATTTGTATTACAGCATAATTCATTAGAAAAGCATGTGCCCTAATTATATGATTCCTGCTGAGTCAAACACTTTTCAAAATTAGCAAAGCTGCCAAACTACAACTGTCACAACGATGGATCGTTTCTTAAAGACTTCACAAAACCACTGTTCAGCTTCAACCCAAATATAGACTGTAAATGAATGATGTAGTTACAGTAGTTTCCTGCCGTTCAAACGACTGAGAGCGAACCCATTAATTCTGTCAATTACAATGCCAATGCTAGATCTTGATAACGAAGAAACTTTAGACAGTCGGGAGGCAGACTTCTTTAATTAATGTCTTGGGCAGGGCCTTGCCTTACACTTGCACATACCGGTAACTTAATTAAAGCCTAGCCCAGTTATGATATCCTGGAAGAGTACACAATGTATGTAATAAGTTTAATTCCTTTCAGGCCACATAATGTAATGTATACAATCCAATGGCAAAGATAATGATATTACAATTGTTGGCACTTAAATCTTAAATCCCCATTATATTTTGTCAGCTGCCAGCAAGAAGACTGTTGTAACTGCCATTGACAATACATAGATGTTACGGCCTTTTAGCAGGAAGCCAACAATTTTGAAACCTTTTTTTTCTTCTTATAAACCATCATAGATCTTTTTCAAATATTGAGAAAACACATGTAAGTATCAATCAACTTAAGGATTGTTTCTTATTACAAACAATGTCAAATAAACACAGTTGCCTTAATTGTTTTCTTTAAAGCTTTGTGTTTGCTTTCCAACAGTTATAAACCCACTAAAGGAATATAAGTAAACATATTTCCGATACTATTTGCTTTCTTAGTTATTATGCTAAGGTACTACTGACAGTTTGGGAAGAAATAGAATCATTCTAAAACATTTCAAAAATAACCTTTCACGGTTGTTTCAAAGGGTTAACTAAACATGTTTATGCTTTTTTTAAAGCTTTTATTTCTAGATAGTTTCAGACTCTAAATTTCAATTGTAATATAGCAGAAGTCAATGGCAGTGAACTTGACTAGAAGTCGAGTACTCACTATAAAGTAATGATTTTCACATGACTTGAACTCTACACTGCATAGCTAATCGCATGCAAACCGTCTTTAAAACGGTTTTATTTCAAAATAGTTTCAGACTATAAATTTCAATTGTAATACATAGCAGAAGCCAATGGCAGTGAACTTACTAGAAATAGAGCACTCTCTAATAAAGTAATGACTTTCACATGACTTGAACTCTACACTGCATAGCTAATCACACAACTCTGGGGAAATAAACACTTCACAACGGCACCCCTCTTGAGAGAAGTGATATTACAGCTTCATGTGACTCCCTTGTCCAAATGCTACAGTACTAGTAACATTTTGGGCAGAAATAGAATCATTTTAAAACATTTCAAAAATAACCTTTCATACTTATTTCACAGGGTAAATTAAACACATTAATGCTCTTTAAAACGGTTTTATTTCTATATAGTTTTTGACTACCGGTGAACTTACTAGAAATAAAGTACTCTCTATAAAGTAATGATTTTCACATGACTTGAACTCTACACTGCATACATGTAGCTAATGATCACACGACTCTGGGGAAATAAACACTTCACATTGGCACCCCTCTTGAGAGAAGTGACATTACAGCTTCATGTGACTCCCTGTCCAAATGACAGCAACTTAGAGTAGTCTAGCCATCTTGACTTTTTTTAAATAAGTGCTTCGTATAAAATCACCTCTTAAAGATAAACTTTAGTACTGGTAATGCGATTGCATTGTGAAAGAAAAGGTGTGGAAAGGATCAGAAACAGTTGATCATGTAGCATGTAAGTATTGGTGTGCACTGCAAGGTTCTGGAGTCATCAAAATCATAATAAATTTGACCGAGTCTTGGTAAAGTAACAAGCACTCACATAGAAAGCTATACATGGGACGACACACATGGTGTCGGGGCTAGTACTACCTTGATTTCCTTGTCCTTCTATGCTCATTACTCAGCCAGTATACATTTTCTTCAAAAATTGTTTGGCACATGTCATTTATTTGTAATCTTGAACATTCAGTGTAAGTTTCGTTTGATTCTGTGAGAATTTTTTTTTTTTTTTACCAGTACTGGAGTTTATCTTTAATCTTAGCATACCTCCTAACCTAACCTTTCAAGGCAAACTGCAAAAATTAGGAATCTCTCAAGGCAAAATTAGGAATATATTCTATTTTGTGTACTTTTAAAACAGAATATTTCAGAAAAAAAAGAGAAGAATCGAAGGGTTCTAAACAACAGCTTGAAGGCCAAGAAATGGGAATCATTCCTCCAAAATGGGAAAGGTTGGCAAGCTATGTCTTTAATAGTGAATTTGGAGTTGGAAGCATTAGGGTGTACTTATCTATTTTGGCTATGAATAATATAATTACTCTTTTATATACAGCACATCAAGGGAATGAATAATGAATCCTGATAGTGCTATAAGCTAGGTGCCATTGAGCCATCGGACAAAGCTAAAGAAAAGAGATCCACATTTTTTACCCCCAAAATAGAAGAAGAAGAAAAAAAAGGGAGAGAGACTGGAAAAGCAAATAATAAATTGCAAGGATAGAAAGGCATTTGGGGCACAGGATAAATAAAGAAATAATACATCAATTCTTTTAATAATATTTATAAGTTTAATTGTAACTGTTATAGGTTGTTCA